CGCCCTTTCTGATTATTCATTTATTTAGATTTCCTTATTAGCCTTTAAAATTTCAGAGAGCTTTGGAGAATATAGGAAGCAGAAAATGATTAAAGGTCATGGACAACTAAATAGTGAAAAATCATGATACGATTTTTTAAGTAGGCGAATAAAGGTCATTGGGAAAGACGGTACGATAAGAAAATAGGGATTTCTGAATTAGAATATTATCATATAAAGAACTAAGGGAATAATAATTTATGAGCCATAAAAAATAAAAAAACGTCACAAAATTTAAGGGAAGTAAGTATAGATAAAACTAGGGCCATGGAATACAGATTTATCTGGTTCTACGCTCGAAATATATTTAGACAAATATCTGTCAAGAAATTAAGTCTTTATTTGATAAATAATTCCAAATAAAACGTATTCTGTGTAGTTGTAGGTGCCTCGAAGTTGAGATAGAATGTTTGTAAGGCGGACATAGAGAAAATAGTCTGTAATTATAGATAAATGTGCTTAGACACATTATTTTTCACATAGATTCTACATCCTGTCCAATTTATGTCAACCTCAACACAAAACCAGAAGGTACTTGAAAGAATTTGCACAGAAGAATAACCCATGTGAAGAAACCAGTCTCATAAGACACATGAATTTTGCAAGAAGTACTGAAGAACTTGATTTCTTGAGAGTTGGAAGAGCTCAGTTATCCGTTTGGCGACCAATCATAGTAATATTCTTTTCATATTTCGGTGTGACTAGTCCTCTTTCGTTCCAGAATAAGGGTGCATTTCGTCGATAATCCCAATTTTTCCTTGCTCCTTTTAGTTACAAAACTTTACAGTCATCTGAAAGTACTTTCAACAGCTTCTTAAAGCATCGTATAATCAGTCGAGACACAAAGCTTTATGGTTTTCGCCTATGCTTATATCAAGTGATCAAAGTCTGTTATCATGTATAACAAGATTGTAAAACTACAGAACTGCACCTTTTTTTCCCCTACACAAACGGTTACATTCAAATTGCCTATCAGTCCACTAACTTTAACAGAAAGCAGTGTTTCGTTTTGATTAATAAGGGAGACGTTCAAGCTTGCAGAGTACGCTACTCACACAATATGGCACCATTAGACAGACCTCAATATTAAAAAAACAAGGATAATGATGCAATTAAGTAACCAATTTCACACTCTATGTTGAACAATTCCATATCCTGTCTGTTTTGTTTCCAAATCCTTTTCTATTTGGAATTATGACAACGATCCTACCATGAATAAGACAAGCGAATTTCCGTTATTTTCAACATAGCGGATTCTTTAAGAAAACTGCCCATTAAAACAAGATCCATCTCCATCAAACTACTATTTCCGTAAGTTTGATTGGTGGACTTATATTAACCATCTGTAAGGATCGATGAGATTAAAACACTAAGAATTGCTGTTCTCATTCGTTTCAAGTTAACGATAATGCTTCCAGCTATGCTATATTAGAAGGCGAATGTCAATTTACCTTTTATTTATTTGAAGACATAAACATTGGTAGGAAGCAAAAGCAAATATATGAGCTACACAATAAAAATGAGGTTGTGAATAGATAAAGAAAAAGATCGAATATAATACAAGAGAACAATGAATTGAAATAAGTACGTGAGTGTGAAATAATAATAATGGGAGCAGTTCATATAGGAAAAATACAACCAGAATGAATTCTTTCAGTTAAGGAAGTTACTCTAACTTTTATGGAGAAAGTTACAGCAGGATCGCCACTAGCTTCCATTCTGAGCTATATTTGATAACGTCTCGAGCAAGTGTGTCGTAATATCTTCTAGGACCTAATTCAGGAAGTCGGGAAGGATTAACAGAAGCTAATCTTCTAAAGCTTTCTTTCAAACTACGACCTCATGTCAAGTACCATACACCTCTCTTTTCCGAACCAGCCCCAGAGTCCGCAAATAATGCACAATGTGAAATCTCCTGGAACGACATTCTCAGGACACATTCAAGTCACCGAAGTCGATGTTTCAAGATAGCAACACTAATTGAAACTCTGTATTACTAACATGATGTCGTCTCTGGAATCCAGGAGCCCGTCGGAGACAAAGATAATCAAACAGAGTCATCCGATCTCCTCAGTTAGGAAAACAAGTTTTCACAAGCACAGAGCGAAATCGCTCTCATTGACGCAATATAGATCCAACTTTTACAGCCAGAATAACTTCGTGAAGGCGCCAAAGATGGTCCAGATTGGCGTAAGCTGCTCCGGCTTTCAATATACGTGAATTGATCTCATTATTTGTGCCACTACCGGAACTTACACAGCTACCCAGAAACACGAACTCCCCATATGCTTCTATCTGTTCATTACCAAAGAGTGAGTGCAGGTTCGGGGTATTTCAGTATTGTAAAAGTACTTTCTGCTAAGGTGCATAGCACACGCCATACCTACGGACACTGATTAAGTGCGGACAGCATGCTTTGGGTTAATTGTACAGTAAGACAATATCACATACTGAAGATTGAAAAGTCTTCTTCTAGACAACGGATCCACACCAAAACTGTCTGGATTCATCAAAGCTGTCTCCAGAACGTCATCCATGACAAATTTAGAAAGGAAAGGTGGGACTGAGTAACCCTGACTGACCCAATTCGCTGAAATCGTTCTGTTTAGGGAGATGAATTTGTTCGCCATTGAAACGTAAGATAAGATTAGCGTAAACAAACGTGTGGTCAGAGTCCAGATAAGTATTCCAAAATGAGCGGCAATACTGTACTCAACGACGTCAACAGTAGCTGACCACAATTTAATCAATCTGAGTCCAGGTTAAAGGTGTAGGAGAATACCAATTGGCACATCTCCGGAGACCATACCAATAGTTAGTGCTAGCCAGGAACAGACTAAAGTCTGATAAAAGTTGCAGTAGATGGTCACCGTCATCTGAACAAAAACTATTGACCACCAAAACGACTCTTCTGTGCCGAGACACCCGACCTGAGCATTGAAATCTTCGACTAGAATACAATATCTGTCGAACGCACTTTCCGCAGAAGAACACTTAACTGGTAGTAAAACTCATCCTTGATCGCTTCCGGGTTGCAATCTGTCGATGTGTAGACGGAGATTAAGAAAAGACATCCTATCTCATACATAATTTTCCAAATTTTGATGGAGCTTCCTAATCTAACAGGACATAACAGACTGTTAGCAAAGATCCGATCGATTAGTACTGTCTCAGCTGTAGAGCTTAGTGTGAGATTAGAGCTAGAAAAACTAGACGATGTCACAGCGTCCCTGCCTAAACACACGTGAAACTAGTTCTCAAAGAGACAAATAAGGAGCGAATTTGTAGTACTTCACAAGAGTCTTGAACACAGGTGTCGGATAGACAGCAGACATCGATGTTGAGACTTTCTAAAGGCATATTCAACCCTGCCTGTTGTCCGACCTCCATTAGTGTGTGAACGTTGAAGGAGGCCAGTTTGAATGGCACATGCTATTTCAGAATTCGCATTCATTAGTAGCGCTCAACTTCCGACCAGTCAATGACTTAAGATCGTTTAGACAGAACAAAGTTCCCACCATAGACGAGTTGCTATGGAAGTTTAAAAATATAGGAATATGCAAAATGGGGATAGAGGAATAGACAAGTGATTCAACGTAAAATAAAAACGAGTCTTAACAAATAGTTTTGGTATGATCTGTGAGGACTGAAATTAAGGCGTGAATAGTTTCCTCCAATAGTAGTCACAATTTGGTTTGTGTATGGGCTGGGATAGAGCCTGGACGCCTGAACCAAAGCAGGTGGTTCTTTTTAGAGGGCTACTCACTGAACCTTTGAACTAAAGGTTTTTGTGGTTTATTGATAGGACTCCAATTCGACCATATGATGATGTTAACGAAATATACATCTTGGCTCCTTTGTACATAACTGTCAACTTAATTCATGTTAAAGAATAATGAAATAAAATAAGCCAAATACGAAAATAAATTCTGGATACGTATACTACATATATTCGTTGAGCCAGGCAGACAATCAGATAAACGAAGCGGAGAAGCAGACCAGACAAGGAAAGCGTCTCAATTCGGTTTGATTAATCATGACTAAATATTTATAGTCAGGCAACAGTAATCTAAATATATGTGATGAATAGGGTAAGTGATTGGCACACACGATCATATAAAAGCAGTCAAGGTTATAAGTGAATAAGTAACAAGGTCAAAATATGACTCCACAAGGCAGTGGAGCAACGTCAGGAGATGCAGTCTCATGGTATCCGGTGACCAACAATAGGTTCATACGTCATTCCTTCTCTCGGGATACTGGAGACTACGTGCATCATTGGTTTGAAATCAGGATTTCCCAACTCTCCTAGGTAGATTCTCCGTATCCACCAATCCGGTTAAAGCGCCGGACATTCGCTTTTCTTACTTTCAATTACGTAAAAAACACCCCGCCTCAGTGAGGCAGTGATTAGTACTTCCTTGACAGTAGCTGTATACGTGGTCATATGAGGGCATTTCGAGAGGGAGAGCTAACTATTCTCGCACTCAACTGCACCAGGGCAATCCGGATTGCTCGTGGATATCATTCAGGTGAATGGTAGCAGTAAGGTACATGAACTGTTAATAATTTTTTCTATCCGTCTTTTTCACTATTAATTTTACTAAGATTGTGCTTGTTGACTTAAGTCTACTTGGTAAGACTAAACAACCATCTACTGTTACATGTCACTGTCATATCAGTCGACTATGCTCTTGTTGCCAAGTATTGAGTTCGGAGCTAACCGGGATGAGTCTTTAAGAATCCGGTAATAGAAAAGCTACCGTAATATATGCCTTTTCTTGCCGTTTGCTAAACGCTGCTAAAACCTCTTACCGTCAACTTTATATCAGACGGTTGATAACCATCATCTGTTTGCAGGAGAGAATTTCTACTTTGTTTAACTTTACCAGTTATGCATCAAAGTTGCTAAGATAAAACGTAGTAAAATTATACCAGGGTCATTTCAGAATAAAATTGTCAGTTTAATTAATAATTTAATGTATTTGATTATGAAATAGATACAGAATTATAAACAATAAAATGAATAAGCGTACAATAGTCCTCCTGAATGGTTTGTCAGTGAAATCAACGAATGATCTATGTCCAAAGAGGCAGGGTATTTAGCTTGGGTAGGGAGCACTACGAATCCAACATACCTCCTTTGTAGAAATACAAAACACTTAGTACCCAAAATCAACCATGAACTTGATCAAGATAGATTATATACTAATATAACCCTCATTCTGCCAACGATGGATCGACTGAGACCGACAAATCACAACGCATATGCTGTGCAAACCGATGAGCTAGTAAAAAAACGAAGTCAGAATAATTAAGTAGCAAAAAATACTCCAAAGCTGATATTTTAACCATTAAAAACCATTATATCAACACCCAAGACTTATTAGATCAGTATCTATCGTGATATTGTAATATCCTAAACAAATTCTTTCCTGGAGCCACCCGCTTCCATAAATAACATAGTGTTCACACTGAAACTGAAAATCATATATTTCTAAGGTTTAAGCTTTAGTTTTTTAAACTGTAGTACTTCGTAATGCTAGTAAGACCTTCAATTTTCCTCAGACTTTTAAAAACTAGCAGTGACCGGAATCTTAAAAACAACTCCACAGCTGAATTTTCAAGGGTGTTAGGCTTACAGAAATCTTGCCAAGCACCAAACAAAGGTTAGTCCAAATATAAGTTTTACCATTAGCTTGAAAATATAAATAAATATAAGTTTGTTACTAAGGTAAAGTTATTCTTTTACTTAGACAATATTAGAAAATGAAAAAAGCTAACTGAAATAATTTATATTCTAGATATAACAAGCGATTCTCTACATAGAAAAATCTAACCAACTAGCTTCAAAAATTTGCTCCGGAAGACCGAGACCATAAAATTAATTGATGAAGTCAATAACTTGAACTCTGGGCTTATTAAACTTCTTATTTATTATCCAAAAAAAATTATAGCTACTGACGGAGATTCTGAGTGATGCAGCTTAGAAACGAAAACAAATAACTTTATTTATAATCTCTCAACAAATTTAGAACATTCTACTATTTTATGCCTTTTATTTTTGTTCTCACTCCTAGCTCTTCTTTCAGTTTTCTTTTGCTTTTTGATCTTTACAAAACGAACGTTAATGGTGAAAACTATAACCTAGAAATATTCGTAAAATATCTGACTGTTTTGGTACCTATATTAAAAACGACCTAATAACCAGAATTTGACTTAACTAAATTATCAACGACTTTTAATTTTATATGATCTATTCATCTTTATAGTACACATATCTTGCACATAATTTTTCTATGTATTAGTAGACTGATTCTAGGTTTCATTCTGGCTCTGTAAAGCTTTCTTTCAACCCATTGTTATACAAACCAACACTGCATATTAAGGTCCATAGTAATCAGATATACATACCATGAATATCGCACCTATATCAGTAGGATGTAGACTAATCAACTAATTGGTGTACACCAAGTATTCTGCGTCTACCTTCAACACTCATAACTCTGTGGTTCCACCACGAGAGTATTAGTTCGGAAACATCTATGATCAAATACCGTTAACCTACAAATCTCGTCTACGTTGAAAGGTCATGGTTCACAACCATGACGTAAGACAGCCAATTGCTGCAAAGCATACTTTCGCGCTGTTTAGTAACGAAGATAACTCTGCCTGTAACTCCTCTGGGGGTTACTGCCTGTCCCAAGCCCGGGTAAAGGAGGAGGGTTGGGCATGGGGTTAGCGACCCCATCCCGTAGAAAATCAATTCGCTAAAAATACGCTAACCAGAAAAAATCATTCAAACCATTCAAACTCTGCTCCGGGAGTAGAAGGAATAATTATGACGTCTCATGATGAAAGCCGAGTTCATTCGGAAGTCATGAGGCCGATGCACCTTCTTACAACCAGAGCGACAATTTTTATAGGTACATGGATTGTCCGGACAATGTGGGAGACCGGAAGAGTTTTCCAAATTGCTGCAGAAATGAGAAAATACAACCTGGAGGTGCTTGGAATCAGTGAAACACATTGGACTCAGGTTGGACAACAACGACTGTCTTCAGGAGAACTTCTGTTATACTCCGGTCATGAAGAAGAAAATGCCCCACATACACAAGGAGTTGCATTGATGCTGTCCAGAAAAGCACGAAATGCACTTATTGGATGGGAACCTCATGGACCAAAGATCATCAAAGCCTCCTTCAAAACAAAGAGAGAGGGCATTACAATGAACGTCATCCAATGCTATGCGCCGACCAACGACTACGATGAAGACGCTAAAGACCAATTCTACGATAGGCTGCAGTCGATCTTCGAGAAGTGCCCAACCAAGGACCTGACCATTCTGATGGGAGATCTCAATGCTAAGGTTGGAAAGGACAACACTGGATACGAAGACGTCATGGGACAACATGGACTGGGAGAAAGAAACGAAAATGGTGAGAGATTTGCAAACCTATGTGCCTTCAATAAACTGGTCATAGGTGGCACCATATTTCCACACAAAAACATACACAAAGCCACTTGGATTTCACCAGATCACACTACACAGGATCAAATCGACCATATCTACATCAACAAAAAGTTCAAGAGGACGATGGAGGATGTGAGAACCAGAAGAGGAGCTGATATAGCATCCGATCATCATTTGCTGGTCGCCAAGATGGAACTAAAACTCAAGAAGCACTGGACAACGGCGCTGAAGGCACTGAAATCAAATGTAGCAGCAACTGCCAAGATACTACACATCCTCTTCAGTAAGATTTCGTATGAAGAACAAGTACCAACAGACTGGAAAAAAGGACTTTTGATCAAAATACCAAAGAAAGGTGATCTTAGCAAGTGCGACAACTACAGGGGCATCACTCTCCTCTAAATACCAGGGAAAGTCTTCAACAGGGTATTGTTAAACAGGATGAAGGATTCCGTAGACGCCCAACTTCGAGATCAACAAGCTGGATTTCGTAAGGATAGATCGTGCACAGATCAAATCGCAACTCTGCGGATCATTGTGGAACAATCAATCGAATCGAATTCATCACTGTACATCAAATTCATTGACTACGAGAAGGCATTTGATAGCGTGGACAGGACGACAATATGGAGGCTTCTTCGACACTACGGCGTGCCTGAGAAAATAGTCAATATCATACGGAACTCCTATGATGGACTAAACTGCCAAATCGTCCACGGAGGACAACTCACCGACTCGTTTGAAGTAAAGACCGGTGTTAGACAAGGTTGCTTACTCTCACCCTTTCTCTTTCTCCTGGTCATCGACTGGATCATGAAGACGTCAGTGGACAGTGGACAAGCAGGATGCAAATTGACGATATAGACTTCGCTGATGATCTGGCTCTTCTATCACAAACGCAACAACAAATGCAGGAGAAAACGACTAGTGTAGCAGCAGCCTCAGCAGCAGTAGGTCTCAATATAAAAAAGGGAAAAGCAATACTCTCCGATACAATACAATATGCACCAATCAAACTACACTTGACGGAGAAGCTTTGGAAGATGTGGAAACCTTTACATATCTGGGCAGCATCATTGATGAACACGGTGGATCAGATACAGATGTGAGGGCGAGGATCGGCAAAGCAAGAGCAGCATACCTACAACTGAAAAACATCTGGAGCTCAAAACAAATGTCAATCAACACCAAAGTTAGAATTTTCATTACAATTGTCAAGACAGTTCTATTGTATAGGGCGGAGACGTGGAGAACTACGAAAGCCATTATCCAGAAGATACAAGTGTTTATTAACAGTTGTCTACCCAAGATACTTCGGATCCTATGGCCAGACACTATCAGCAACAAGTTACTGTGGGAGACAACAAACCAGATTCCAGCGGAGGAAGAAGCGCTGGAAGTGGATTGGGCACACCTTGAGGAAATCAGCTAATTGCGTCACAAGACAAGCCCTCACATGGAATCCTGAAGGTCAAAGGACAAGAGGAAGACCAAAGAACACATTACGCCGAGAAATAGAGACAGACATGAGAAGAATGAACAAGAACTGGATAGAACTAGAAAAGAAGGCCCAGGACAGAGTGGGTTTGAGAATGCTGGTCGGTGGCCTATGCTCCATTGGGAGTAACAGGCGAAAGTAAGTAAGTAAGTAACGAAGATATCGCTTAAGCCAAAGACGATGGCAAGATGGGAAAATCAAAACTCTACTTTAGATACTTGTTGACGTTTCGTCAAACACCAATTGAACACAGTTGATATAAATTCTGAGATGATGATTAGATCACAACACATTTAGTTACCGTCCGGAGCTAAATTGCCTATTAAAACAAACAAAACTACTAAATAAACTTATTCACCAGACACTTGAATGTGAGGCGCACTTTAAGTGTATAGGCTGATACAAACTGGTTGGCCACACCAAAGTGAGTGGAGCAAGGCCCGAACCAAAGATTTATTGGCAGAAAACCAAACCCCTTAAATCATTAAGCCTTCGCTCTAAAACGATAAGCGATACCACGTAAATTCTCTGACATTGATTTGATAAAGGGGACAAACAGTTTACGCAAAGATGGAATCAAATGAAGTCCCAATAAAATGACTATTTCCCACGAATCAAATAACAAACTAAAGGGTGTGAGCTTGGATTTATTTAATCGCCTGCGTAGTCTGAAAGCGTAACAAGCTGAACCCATGAAAATATTCCCATATTGTGTCCCTGCCCTTATTATCGCCTTCGAAAGTTTTTTAGTATCTCTTGATGAGATAAATAAATCTAGAATAAATCAAAATATGAAGCATTATGGATCAAAACAGAATGTAAGATTCCGAGAAATAAGTATCTTACAACACTCAGTTTCAGGATTTTATTCATAATAATATGTGCTCTTTACAAAATAAACCGACACATCCACATTAATTTTGACTCAGCTATAAATAACGTAAGATCTGGCAATGTGCATTTGATAGAACAAGATGACAGTGGTGCCAAATCACTGATATATTAAGCAATAAACTGTTTTATGTTGTATTGAAAACTAATGATAGTTAAATCACAATCAGTCAGTAACAACGTAGAACTTCGTACGTGCGTACATCAGTTCGAGTTGCCATACCACATTAGCACAGAGATGCAGTTGTCGATTCAAATCCCATAGTGGTAGAAGTAGTACGAGTATAATCAGAAATCCTAAAGATTAGGGTTTTAAGAAATTATTGAAGGAGTATAGTACAGTGAAATAAATTTGGAAAGAGAAAAAGACAGAGACATGAGGAATTCGGAAGATTAGAAGTTGGTAGAACACAAAGAGTGGATGCACCTTCGCCATTGCAAACGATTTTGAGCCATGTCATTCAAGGTCTTTAACCATCGGTTGCTATCATCTCGCGAATCCCAACCAGGTAGTCTACACCTACCAACATGGCTCAGTCCAATTGTCAGTGACTTCATTGATTTGTGCCACGTTTTGGTCTGGCCGCCCATAGCTTTCTTCCAACCTACTCCTACACCATGAAACATTGCACGTTGGGGCAGTCGGTGGTCGGGCATACGTAACACATGTTCCAGCCATCTCAACTGATCAAGTTTCACTACTTCATCAATCGATTTGCCATCCTTAACTAGTACTCGTTTCCTAACAACTGCATTACTTACCCGGTGGTCCCAGGATATACGAGCAATGCTTCGAAGACACCTGTGATCAAAAACTAGTAGCCTACGAATATCCTCTACTCTTATCGGCCATGTTACCATAAAGTAGGACGGAGCGAACTGCTGCACAGTAAACACGTCCTTTGATTGCTAGACGGATATCTCGCCTACTCCATAAATGACGCAAGTTGGCGAAAGCTAGACGAGCCTTCTGTATCCGTGCTGAGATTTCGTCACACACTAGACCACAAGGGCTGATGAGACTCCCAAGATAAGTGAAGTGGTCTACACGCTCAACTACTTCACTCCCTATCATTAGTTCAGGTTTTGCTGCAACCCAATCTTGAAGTAACATTTTGCACTTCGAGGGAGAGAATCGCATTCCGAACATGCCTGCATAGTTGCTTATAGTGGTCAGAAGACTCTGCATGTTGCCAGCGTCCTCACCAAATAAAACTATGTCATCGGCGTATTCTAAGTTAACAAGTGAGCCTCCCGGTAAAAGTTCAACTCCTGGAGGTTTAGCTGATGAAAGTGCTATTTCTAAAAGTATGTCAATGACAAAGTTAAACAAGAATAGAGAAAGTGGACAGCCCTGACGAACACCACTTGAGGTAATCAGTTCTGATGACAGTTCGCCATAGGCTCTAACTCGACCAGTTGTGTTCGTGTAGAGAGCCTTTATGAGGTTAATGTACTTCTTTGGTACTCCTTTCACTGACAAACACTACAGTAGAACCTCACGATCAACGGAGTCAAATGCCGCCTTAAGGTCAAGAAATACTACTATTGTGGGACGTCTGAATGTATGTCTATGTTCTAGGACCTGACATAGGGTGAATATCTGGTCTATGCAACCACGTCCAGATTGAAAACCAGCCTGGTTTTCTCTAGTCTGCTCTTCACGAGCTTTGGTTAGGCGTCCAAGTATTATTGAAGCTAATATTTTAGACACTATATTAGTCAAACTGATTCCTCTGTGATTGTTACAAGAGGACTTTTGTCCTTTCTTATAGACTGGCACAATCAGTGATTGTGACCAGTCAGATGGAATTACGTCCAGTTCCCAGATTCTACCTAAGACCTCAGTCAATCTCGTTGCTAGTACTGGACCACCATCCTTAAAAATCTCAGGGGTCAACCTGTAAGGGCCTGCTGCTCTTCCTCGCTTCAGATTTCCTATAGCTTTTCAACCTCGCAGAGGGTTGGAGGACTTGCATCAATTTGCCATTCAGGACGACTGGGGATCGTGGGTAATTGAGGTGTGGCTGAAGGCCAGTTGAACTGATCCCTAAAGTGTTCTGCCCATCGAACCAATCTCCTGGATTGAGAATGAATGATATGCCCATCATTATCTGAGATGGTTTCACTGATACTCGGGTTCCTAATACCGGTTTCTTTAACAGGTCTTAATAGCTGCCTACTGTTACCTATTGCCACTGCCTTTTCCATCTCTCTTGCTTTCGCTACCCACCACTGTTCACGATCATTACGTAGGCTTCTTATTAGCCTGCGCTTAAGTTGACTCCGCTCTTCGTTATGTTCAGAGCCTGATGGGATGAGTTTACGAGCATCTATCAGTGCGGTAGATGCTGCCAAGATCAATTGTTTCTCCCTAACTTTATAGTTTATCTTACTAGCGGATATCACTGCTGTTTCCACAGCTTTACGGATGTCATTCCACGCTGCCTCGGGGTGGGTACAACTTACATGGCTTCCTAACTGTTTTTCTAGTTGTTCTTGAAACACATTCTTAGCTTGCCTATCATTAAGTAGAACCCTAAAAGGCTTCCCTGCAGTGTCTTTCCTACGTCCAGTAAGACAAAGACAGATACGTGCTCGCACTACAGCATGATCTGAATCTAAGCACGTGCTCCAAAATGGGCGACAGTCTTCTATCGAGCCCCTCCATCGATGGTTGATAGTGATTTGATCTATTTGGGTGCAACGTTGGGACAAATTCGGGGGTCGCCAAGTCAAATCACAATAAAATTTAAAAGAAGTTTAGAAGATGAACTAACTTGCAACAAGAAAAAGGTACATGCGGATCCAATGACATAACCCAAATATATCTTAACTTCACGTTCCAAGAAATTGAGACAGCCATACTGATAATAGATACACTCTTTATTGCTAAACGATTCTTCTAGCTGACAATTTTTACAACAACTTCGAGGATAACTGCCGTTATTGTAATATTTCCAATCTGATTGTTTTTCCACTCCACAACACTCAAACTAGAATACAGGATGAATTTATAAAACTTCAGTTTACATTTGACTGGATAAAATCGACAATCTGTCGAACTTCAGCAACTTTATCATACATCTTCAGATCTTCATGAAGTACTCCACTTATTTGTTCTCTAATCTAAAAACGTTATGTAAGTTCAAAAATATGCATTACTTTTGGCCAGTAAAATATAGAAACGATTATAACAGCCAGTTTACATAGTAAAATAGTGAGCAATAATACATACAACAACACAAGTAGACAGCGACTATGTTTTATGCAGGCTATGAAACCAATCAATCCAGCACACAGGAGCAATAATCCTGTGCCCAGCACAATATAACCAGGAAATTGTAGGTTTGTTACAGTCACAACGTGTTTGTAACGCGCAGCAATTACAAGTATGCTCCCCCCAATAGCTATAAGTATTACTGAAGCAACCTGAATCGAAAAAATGAAACTAATTCACAAAGACTTACCAAAAGCAGTGCATATGACACGGCCACAATGCATCTAGATAAGTCATTAAGAATCGCCATTGTGAATAGCTAGTTTTTTAATAAGAACGTTTGATATCTCCAAATTCCTAGATAATCGGTACAGATTAAACTACACAGAAGATTGGACCTGTCAAGAAGATAAGGTCGAATAAAGAAAATCACAGGAACTAAGTGGTTTGAAGCCAGATGCTGCAATTACCAAGTTTAACTAATTAATAATGATCGTTTTGTGTAGTTCGAACCAGTCAACAATTTTGATAACTAGTTTTAACATTATGGTTGGTAGGTCAGTCAGCTACAACGTAGGACTAGGCATATATATGCATCGGTCTAAGTTGCCATACCTCGTTAGCACAACAAGATCAACACCGGATTCATAGAAGCAATTAATTTAGTGGTGGTAGTATATAAAGAAAGGTTGTATAGAAGGATATAGTATAGGAAGGAAAAAAAGTTATGAAGCAATTTTAATCTCAAGGTTTAAAGGAAGATAAAGAGTGTATACTCCTACGCTATTGTGATCGATTCTGAGCCATGTCACTCAGAGTTTCCAACCATTGGTTACGATAGTCACGCGCACCCCAACCAGGTAGTCTGCATTTGCCAACATGGCTCAGACTAGAAGTTAGTGACCTCAAGCACTGATGCCATGTTTTGGTTTGGCCGCCTCTAACTCTCTTCCAACCATCCCCTACACTAGTTAACATTGCGCGTCGTGGTAATCGATGTTCAGGCATACGTAACACGTGGCCCATCCCACAATGACGTAAGTTGGCAAAAGCCAAACGAGCTTTTTGAATCCGTGCTGAGATTTCGTCAGACACCAACCCATTAGGGCTGATCAGACTTCCAAGATAAGTGAAGTAGTCGAACGCGTCGACAACTTCACTCCCTATCCTTAGTTCAGGTGTTGATGCAGGCTAGTCCTGGAGTAACAATTTACATTTGGATGGGGAGAAACGCATCCCAAACATCCTGGCATTATTACTGAGTTCCAACAGAAAACTTTGCATTTTGTCAGTGTCTTCACCAAACAGGACTACGTCATCTGCGTATTCTAAGTCGATAAGTGAATCTCCTGGTAGAAGATCAATTCCTGAAAATTCAGTCGAAGAGAGTGTTATTTCCAGCAACAGGTCTATCATGAAGTTAAACAAAAACGGGGATAGTGGACAGCCTTGTCGGACACCACTTGAGGTTGTAAAATCAGATGACAGTTCGCCATAAGCTCTCACTCGACTGGTAGTGTCAAATGCTGCTTTCAAGTCAAGAAAAACTATCATCGTCGGACGCCAATAAGCATGCCTGTGTTCTAAAACCTGATGAATAGTAAATATGTGGTCGATACAGCCACGACCAGGTCTGAAGCCAGCCTGATTTTCTCGTGTTTGCAGTTCACGAGTCTTAGTTAGGCGACCGATAATTATTGAGGCTAGTATTTTAGATACTATGTTAGTCAGACTAATCCCTCTATGGTTATCACAGGATGATTTTGGCCCCTTCTTATATATTGGGATAATCAGAGATTGTGACCAGTCAGATGGGATTACGTCCGTCTCCCAGATTTTATCCAGAATAGTAGTCAACCTAATCGCTAAAATTGGATCACCATATTTAAAGACCTCTGGAGCCAATCCATCTGGACCAGCTGCTCTTCCTCGTTTCAGATTACCTATAGCCTTTTGAACTTCAAGTAGGGTCGGGGGGCCTACTTCAATGTTCCATTCAGGTTTTCTGGGAATAGTGAGTAGTTGTGCAGTAGCTGAAGGCCAGCTAAACTGCTCCTTAAAGTGTTCCGCCATCGTTCTAAACGTTTGGGTTGAGAGTAGATAAGGGTTCCATCTTTTTCCGAGATTGTCTCACTTACACTTGACTTCTTAATTCCGGTTTCTTTCATTAGCTTGAATAGTTGCCTGGTGTTGCCTACAGCCGCTGCCTTTTCCATCTCTTTTGCTTTCGTTGCCCATCACTGCTCACGATCGTTCCTTAGACTCTTAGTTAATCTAGATCTAATTTGTTTACGCTCTTCGTCGTGTTCAGAGCCTCATGGGATGAGTTTACGCGAATCCATCAGTGAAATGGACTCAGAAGAAATCCACTGGTTTTTTGGAGCCCTATGGTTTAAATAACTAATAGATGTTACTGCTGTTTCCACAGCTGTTCGTATGTCTTTCCAAGCGGCATCTGGGTCAGTCTCGTTTACAGAACTGCCTAGATGTGAGCTCAGTTGTTTCTGGAATTCGCATTTGGCTTTCTCGTCCTCCAGTTCAATCCTAATGGGTCTTCTTAGTGCACTTTTCCTGCGTCCATTGAGGCGCAGACAAATGCGCGCTCGTATTAAAGCGTGATCAGAGTCTAAACAAGTATTCCAATACGAGCGACAATCTTCTATTGAGCCTCTCCAACGATGACTGATGACAATATGGTCTATTTGAGTCCATCGTTGGTTTGGTGAAGGTGGTCGCCATGTTAGACGATGTCTCTCCTTATGCTTAAAATTAGTGCTTGCTAAATATAAATGAGTGTCTGAGCATAGTTGCAATAGACGATCACCATTATCGGTTCGTTGAGCCGGAATACTAAAACACCCACCTAAATGTCTTTCTGTTTGAATTAAGCTGCCTACCTAGGCATTTAAGGCATCCGTTACGAGTACTATGTCTGAGCGCTTAGCTTTTTGAAGAAGTTCGAAGAGCTTTTGTAGAAGTCTAATAATACAATATCTGTCGAACGCACTTTCCGCAGAAGAACACTTAACTGGTAGTAAAACTCATCCTTGATCGCTTCCGGGTTGCAATCTGTCGATGTGTAGACGGAGATTAAGAAAAGACATCCTATCTCATACATAATTTTCCAAATTTTGATGGAGCTTCCTAATCTAACAGGACATAACAGACTGTTAGCAAAGATCCGATCGATTAGTACTGTCTCAGCTGTAGAGCTTAGTGTGAGATTAGAGCTAGAAAAACTAGACGATGTCACAGCGTCCCTGCCTAAACACACGTGAAACTAGTTCTCAAAGAGACAAATAAGGAGCGAATTTGTAGTACTTCACAAGAGTCTTGAACACAGGTGTCGGATAGACAGCAGACATCGATGTTGAGACTTTCTAAAGGCATATTCAACCCTGCCTGTTGTCCGACCTCCATTAGTGTGTGAACGTTGAAGGAGGCCAGTTTGAATGGCACATGCTATTTCAGAATTCGCATTCATTAGTAGCGCTCAACTTCCGACCAGTCAATGACTTAAGATCGTTTAGACAGAACAAAGTTCCCACCATAGACGAGTTGCTATGGAAGTTTAAAAATATAGGAATATGCAAAATGGGGATAGAGGAATAGACAAGTGATTCAACGTAAAATAAAAACGAGTCTTAACAAATAGTTTTGGTATGATCTGTGAGGACTGAAATTAAGGCGTGAATAGTTTCCTCCAATAGTAGTCACAATTTGGTTTGTGTATGGACTGGGATAGAGCCTGGACGCCTGAACCAAAGCAGGTGGTTCTTTTTAGAGGGCTACTCACTGAACCTTTGAACTAAAGGTTTTTGTGGTTTATTGATAGGACTCCAATTTGACTGGCTGATCACAAAGAACTATTCAAAACATTCGCCCTAACCCCATAGGAGCTGAAGGGTTTTCATACAGAGCAGTTATAACGCTTCATGGTAAAAGACGATATTCTTCGGTAGTCACGAAGCCAATGGCCTTTTTGACGACTAGAATAACAATTAATATAGATAAATTTAATGTCTAGAAAACGTGACAAACTGGAAGGGCAGTGAGAATAAGAAGATACGACCTAGCAGTGCCAGAAAGAAGTGAAACTAACTGAACATAATCTGAACAGAAAAACTAACTTCAGGAGAGTTGTTGTGTTACACGAAGACAAAAATTTTTGACCTACACTAAAAATTGTACTGATGCTCTACTAAGCACGAAAAGCAATTATAGGATGGGAACCTCATGTCTCAAGGATCATCGAAGCATCCTACAAAACAAAAAAGAAAGGGATCACAAAAAATATCATACAGTGCTGGGCATCTACCAATGATAAGAAAGAAAATGGAAAAGACCAGTTTCATGAGAGGCTGAAGTCCATCCTAGAGATGTATCCAGGAAAATACCCAATTATTCTGATGAGGCAACTAGACACCAAGGTTCGGATGGACGACACATCATGAGGCGACATAAACTGGGAGGAAAAATTCAAAGATAGTAAGAAACTGGAAGATCTGTATGCGTTCACCATATTCATAGGTGGTATCATTTCCCTTCACACTTATACACAAAGCTACATGGGTTTCACCGAACCACACCACAATAAACTAGATTAAGCAGATCTGAACTAAATGACTAAGAAGGCCCATAGGAGAAATAAGAGCAAAACAAGGAGCTGACACAGGTTTAGATTACCACCTACTGGTTAAGCTAAAGAAGCACTAGACAATCAGTACTGTAAAAGTTTAGTACGGACTTAACTCGCAATGCTAACAAGACTAGAGAGTTTAAGCAACACGTCCTAAGCCTTATAAAACATACTAGAAGAAACCACTGTAGAGAACAACAGACTACCTCACTAGGGTCCGTGTGATTATAGTACCCAACAGTTAGAGACTTAAAATGACACTGCTCAGAATCAATCGTAATGTCACGGGTGCAAGCACTCGTTGTACTACCTTAAATCTTACGTTTCTAAACTACTAAATTTTTCCTTCCTGTTTCAGTGATTTTATATCTCGGATAGTATCTTCGAGGTCTGGTCTTTCTATTGCCAATAATATCGTCACTACCTCTCCCACTCTAGGATTTGCCCTGGCAATTTCGTCCTCCTTTGCTAGTAGGATGCGGTAACTAGAATCGTTGTAGACGTGCCAGGTTAGTTGTTGGGTTTGGCTGACTACGAAGAACTGGAAAAAGATTAGGCAAGCAACAATTTCGCTATGTGTCGGTTGCTAATGTCCACATAGTTTATTCTAGCTCCTAGACATGCCAATTTGCCCATTCTTAATGAGTCACATTTTGGCATAGTTAATTATTCGCCTTGACTGTTTTTGTATATGAGCGTATACGTGTGCACTTCTTATCCTATTCATCACATGTCTGTACCTTATTTTTGTTTGACTATAAATATCGCCTCACGCTTGGTTGAATTGAGTTGTCTAATAAGCCTTCTTTAGCGAGCGTCATTTCACTTCGTCCCTCTGATTGTCTATCTAGACCAATGAGTGCAAAATATATCCACATTCAAAAACCCATCCCCGTATTTGGTTTATTTAGTTCCACTATTCACTAACGTAGACTAAATCGGCAACTATATACGAGGGTTGGCAAAATATATATTTCAATAACAATCAATCACACAATATTACTGGAGTCAAATGTACGGCTACTAAAACTCCGTTTCCGTTTGGAAAGGACAGGAGGCTTGATGGCCTGTGTTAGTCCTGGCAATGATGGTCTCTCAGCTGATCCAACCTTCTTTTGAAGGAGTCGACGGATGAAGCCTCAACCACGTGCTGAGGTAATGAATTCCACTCGCTGATGATTCGACGGGAAAGTCGGTAGTCAGCTGACAAGTAATTCGTTCGGGGCTTGTGAACTTTTTTGGAAGACAAGAAAAATGAGGACATATCAGGTGCAAATCTGTCATTAAGCAATTTGAAAACTATAATCAAGTCGCCTCTGATTCTTCTATATGACAGCGGAAATAGGTTTAGCTTGGTCAGTCCAGTATTATACGGGAGCTTCGCCATTCCGGAAATCAGCCTTGTTGCTGTCCTCTGAACCCTTTCCAAGAGTTCACTGCCTTTTTT